TAGAAATAGTCTACTTCTTTTCTTAATTTATTGGATAGAAAATCCAATAAGGTTGAATGAACATATGAAGAGATAGGAGCGTAAAAAAAAAAATCAAGGTGTGATCTGCAATAATATGATTGAAGTTTCAGCTCTTTTTTTCTATCTGTCATAACCTTCATCTTGATTTTTCTAATGCCCTACCCTGGAAAATTAGAATTCAAATGAATCCAGCAAATGCTGTGAAAAAAATAAACAAACATGGTTCTGCAAACAATAGATTTTCATTGAATAAATAATTAAATTAAGACCATTTATTCATAAAACCCAACTGAATTAAATGCCATGTTTGTGATTTATCTACGTAGTCTCCGAGAATTGACACAATTGACCAGAAGGGAAAAAAAAGGTTCTGCAAACAATAGATTTTCAAATAAATAATTAAATTAAGACCATTCATAAAACAATGAATAAATGCCATGTGTGATTTATCTACGTAGGAGAATTGACTTGACCAGAAGGGAAAAAAAAGTGATGTAAATAGCATACAATGTAACTTGTAAATGGAAATCTTAACTACTTGTAGACTTCTTTCTTCATGGAAAAAAAAACATTTTAATAACATTCTCCTCCCCTGAAAACTAGTGCTAAATGTTTCTAGAAAGCAAAGGAATATATTCTTTGAGTCGTCTTTTTGACCAGCTTGGACTGCAATTATGAACTAGCAGCTGCATGGCTTGTTACCTTTTAGAGGTAGGAAAATCAATGAAAACTGTAAAATAAGCTTAATTTATTTGGATAAAGGGAAACAGAAACAACCCCAATATCAATACAATGTCTTCTTACCAACTTTGCATCTTCAGTTTGACTACAGCACTCCCGCCCCCCCCCCCAAACTGTAACTGTATGCTCCTTGCCAAGGAAATGTCCTAGGATTCCATAAAGAAAAAACTGAGTCAGCTTGGAAGAATACCACAATACACCTCTGTGATTAATACATCTCAAAGTTGCTAACCTATTTATTTAGGTGGTGATGATGAAATTAACTGCAAAACTATTTCCTCTGCCTTAGTTAAGGAAATATCTTAAATAGAAACCTACTGTAATTCAGAAGTGAAGCACTGCAGGATGCCTAGATGTAACAGTAAACTGGATTGACTGGTTATGCACCTATCTTGTTAAAGAAGCCAAATTCCGTTCCTGAAATGAATTGTTTTCAAAGCAGTACAGGAATCCTGTTCATCTGGATGTAGTTCTATATTACTAATCTATATATAGCAAGCCTAATCCTGTAACACATGAACCATCTCCTGCTGCCTGCCAGTACCACACTGGAACAATTATTAAACAACTAACAGTATAATAATCCTCTAACAACCTGAAAATGTTAACCAATATCCCAGCTCTTCAGCCCTTAAACAGGGTAAGCAGCTTTTGGGGGCTGTAATTCTGAGATATATAATAGGTTCCCATAAAATGGCTAAAATATTAACAGAGCACTTCCTTGAAAAGGTAACTTGTCCTTTAAGTTGAGCTGCCTGATGATAATGATATGCCCAGATAAGTCTTCTTGTGAACAACAGTAAGAAATCTGCCACTGTTTTCTTCTGTGTATATCCATTCATTTAAGGCAGATATGTCAAACACAAGGCCCGGGGGCCGGATGCGGCCCGCAAAGTGGTTTCATGTGGCCTGTGAAGCCATCCTGGAAACAGTGAGGGAAAGGCCCCCGCTGCCTTGGCCCTGGCCCAGGCCAGCTGGGAGCCAATGTACAATTTTGTGATGGCCATCTATGCTGAAACACATTCAATCTTAGCTCCACAAGACCATCTAGAAACAGCAAGGAACCAGCCCCTGCCGCATTGGTCCGACCGCTGGGCGCATGCTGGGGAGGTATTACCCTTTGTGAGGAATGAAGAAATGGACCATGCCTTGGCACTTGCCATGGTCCCACCCCCTTCTGCCAGAGACCCTCAGATCTGTCCCACTCCTGCCCTGGCCCCCACAGGCACCCTTGACGTGAACGATGTAGAGCTGGCCATGCCCACACAGTAGGCCACACCCACTCCATCCACGCCTACCCAGTAGGCTGCACCACCCTGGCTGCACCCACCTGGCCCCCCAAGGGCAACCGCAATGCTGATGCAACCCTCAATGAAATTGAGTTTGACACCCCTGATTTAAGGAGTAACTAGGAGTGATCCTGTTTAATTTCCAAATCCAGATTAGGTTGACTGGATACTACCTCTTTTTTTCCTAAACTGAGTAAGTTTTTCTGCTGCTGCTTTTAAACTCTCATTGCCCCAGAATGCTCCCTACCAGCTAAGCTCAGCCTGTTTGTTTTTCTGGGGAGGTGACATTTCTAAACAAAGGTCTGGACTGCAGCCATGGCCATTTATACATCCTAAGACTCCTATGGCGCCTCTGTGGGATCTAGAGACATTCTTGGAAGTAAAGATAATAGTGGAGGCTATCATGTTGCTCTGAAGCATGCCAATTCCATTAGTATTCAATTTTAAAGAATTAACATATAGTGACTTTAGCTAACTTTTACTTTAAATGCTTTTTATTAAGATGATCAGTAGATACATACTGCAGATGCCAAGTATTAAATCAGTTTTCTCCTTATAATTCAATGGCAACAAACCAGATATATTAACTCCTTTCAAACATTTCCATATGTAATACATCAGACTGTCTTTCTTGCGCACAATTTCTTATGAGAACAAGAAACCAAAAAATAGTAGGCCTTTATTCAAAAGATTATTTAATATCACTTTCTTTCTTCTTTAATGATAGAAACCTAATTTTTATTCCTTAAATATCTCTTCCTTTCAGCACAGTCAAATTTCCCACTCTGGCTAAATGTGCAAATGTGCAATTCCTGTTAAACCATGATGTGGATAAAGATGTATTTATGTTTATGTATATTTATATTATATTTTCATACCGATGAAAACATCTTAAAGTGGTTTGGGGGAGGCAATCCAAGAAGCGGTCAGGGCTCAAGAAAGAATAGGATCAAAACTAAATTTATTTGCATTTACATATTAATTAAAATTAAGTCCTTGGGACTTATTTTGTAATTTGCAAATAAAAAATTGTCACTTCTGATTTTAATTAACCACAATCTCAGATCTGGAAATTATGCAAACTTCAAAACCCATGATTTCACACTGATTTCTCTGATATTGTTACTACCACTGAGCATGCCAACATGGTATATGTTACCTTTACTGAAGATTAAAGACTTGCCAAATGCACAGAAGAAATAGGACAACATCAGCTCAAGGTATATTGAGGCTTGTTTCTAGATATTCACTGCTTCTAGTAAACCATTTAGCATGATTTGTAAATAAAATTTTCAGATAAGTCAATAGGCTTTTCAAATCAACTATATAGGTAGATGAGGAAAGTAGGTGGCAATATGTAAACCTGCAATTAAGGTACATGTTGCCTCATTAACATTTATAGTTGGAGATGATCTGGTAGTTTTCAAAGACGCTTGTGGAAAATTGCCAAACCACTCCCAGAATAATAGGATCAGCATGGTCTGGATGAAACAAATATGAGGGTGAAAGTTCGTCCTCCGAGCTTGTGAGTGGTTTTCCAAACATTTCGTTACCAGGCTAGGTAACATCGTCAGCGTTGTTCCCCTAAATGCCACTGAAGATGTTACCTAGCCTGGTAATGAAACATTTGGAAAACCACCCAAAGCTTGGAGAACAAACCTTCACCCTCATCCTACCCCCAAGCTACAGATATTCACCACTATTTCAGAATAAAATATTGTATAATTGCTCACAATATTCCATCTCGAGAATGGATCCTTTTGCACCTATGTATTCATTACTACACCTGAATACATTAGTCTTCTAAACAGAGAGTACCACACTACCACTATCATAAAGCATGAAACTAGAGGGGGAAAAAAACAAGGCCTAGGCTAATTTTATGTTGCATAAAATACCTTACTTCTCTAAACTCAGTTAAGGAGATTTTATTGTCTTTGAGATTTGATTATACAAAGTGAGTCAGACCTCAAATTATATGTTTAGATTTCAAGAAATATAAAGCATTACAACTTCTTGACATCATCTGGAGGATTACTTCAAGGAATTTACTTTTGCCATATTGAACTATGTTCAATATTGTTTGTTTTTTGGTTGATCTACCATACAAATAAAATGTATCATTAATATATTCAATAATGTTTCTTTATATATTAAAATACATAAATTTGCCAAATTCATTCATTATATTAGAGATTAGAGATTTGGTTCATACTCAAATTATTTGGAGCCAGACAATTTATAGACTACTAACAAAAACTAATATTTTCGTTTTCAAAAATCCCATATGCCAACCTTCATTTAAACAGCAAGAGCAGCAAAGTTTCTAGCAGAAAATAACAAATCACTGCTTTGTAGGAAAAATTATTAATTTCCCAGTTACCTTATTGGCTCTTGTTATAAAAGGCCTAGATCATGATGTTGATTTAATAATACCTTCCTTTATTGGTCAAAAAACTTGGAACAACGATATTCTGATATTCATATGGATAGATAATGTTAAAAAATAAATGGATATGGCTACTTTAAGAAAAGAAACAAGAAAAAAGCAACCAACTGGCTATAGAATTTGGCTGTTAAAAAATTAAAGACAAGTACATAATCTCAAACACATGAACACCATCACCATATGAGCTAGCAATCAAGAAATCTATAGTTTGTCTCAAATATGATAAGCTTCTTTGTTATATGGTAGATGGGATACTTGAGTTTCACAAACCACAAAAATGAAATATAAATCAGAAAGTAGATTATTTTTATCTAGATACACTAAGTGAAATTAAGCCTGCACACTAAGATCGCTGTTTGGTACCTCTTATCTAGAACAAACTGATATATTTTAAATTGTGCTGAAGTTGTTCTAAATAGAAGGACAAGAATTTTACTGATGCAAATAATAAGGAAGAATAAGCATTTCTCTTATTTCTGTTTTCTCCCCATCCTCTACAGAGTTGCCACTCCTTTTGGTGGTTTTGAAAGAGCATCAAAACTTATCAAGTACAAAGTCCCAGATTTTAACTTTCTGCTGCTAAATGATCCACGATTTATGGTCCTTGCTAACCCACTTTCTACCAGGAGATCATTCAACAGGACTCCTAAAGGTTGGACCTCCGAGAATATTCCCATAATGATAACTATACAGTCTACAGAAGTCAATGGTGTTCCAGAAACAGACGATTTGTGAAAAGTACCGTAAGTGCACCACGAATCAGATTCAGCTTCGCAGTGTTTTAGTCTTTTAACACTCTCTACATCTATTCCAACATCCTATTTTATGTTATTGAATGCAATATGATCTGATGATGCAGTTGTATTCTGGGCTTAACTAATATTTATATTGATTCCTAATACAAATAAAACTATGTGGCCAATGCATTCTTAAAAAAATACATTTGACGCTTTCTTTCAACCTTTACGTTTTATATATTAAATATAATCTGAATTGATTCTCACTGGTCAATTTTTATATTAAGAGGTCAGATAATGATAACAATTTCAATGATATTACAAATTTATCTATCAATTCTAGTTTGATAAGACTTGCTACTGAGATATAGTGGCAAATGTGTAGGAACTCTTGGTTAAACTACATATTTCAATGAACCCTACTGACCCAATCTGTACATGATATAAAATTAAACATGACATCATTTTGTGAATCTGAATGCATACTTACTATTTAATGTGAACTGACCAAAATAAAGAAAGTCTATACTTTTGTTAAGTAGGTATGCTACTAGGAATCTGAAAAAAAAAAAAAATCCTCTCTGGAAACAATAAACTTTTTGCATGTTGTATTTTTTAGAACAGCATAAGGAAATTGCAATTTAATATAAGTCTTTCAGTTTAGAGCAGCGGTTCTCAACCTTTTTAATGCCATGACCCCCAACCGGTCGTAAGTTGAGGACTACTCAACCGGTCGTAAGTCGAGGACTACTCAACTGGTGCAGCACTGTTTGCAGAATGGGACTTTTGGCAGGCTCAGCAGGGCAGAGACAGCCTGGACAATTCCTATTGGCTTTTGAAAAGCCAATAGAATAAAAGGGAGTAGCACAGCTAAGGAAAAGGGGGGGAAAATGGCAGACTGCGTTGTTTGGCAACCCCCGTGAAATGGTCATTCAACACCAAATGGGGTCCCGACCCACAGGTTGAGAACCATTGGTTTAGAGGTTGTCCTTGACTTATGACCATTTCTTCTGGAGCTATTGGAAATTACAATGGAGTTGAACAAAGGGACTTACAATCCCTACCTACTTATGTCCGCTGAAGCACTCCACCCTGCAGTCATGTGAAAAAAAAGTGCTCTCTCCTCCCATCCTGCTGGTCCTCTCAGGTTTTGGGCCTGCTTTCCACACTGCTTGGTCCTCCAATCTCCTCTCCATCCTCATAATTTCAGTTTTTTACCTTTTCCATAGATCTTCTAGAGGGAGCAGTCGATCTGCCATATGGCTTTCCTATACAGAAGCCTCATGAGACCATCCAGACAGCAGATGCCATTTGGGGAATGGCTACAATGAAATGTGGCCATTCGGAAATGGCGTCCACTTTTGGAATGGCACATGAAGTCTCAGTACTGTATCGAGGAACCAAGGGACAATCGTGTTTGGGAAGGAACGTTAGCTCTTCCCCAATCAGCCTCCCTATGCAGTTCCCAAGGCCTGTGGCATCCCAGCAGAGTGGGAAGCAGAGCACAGGGTGCCACAGAGGTGGGGGAGATCTGGGGAGGCTGGAAGCAGGCCATGTGTGAACTCAGGAACTGTTGTAATGTAGGCCTGGAACTGCACTAGGACTCCCAAGGCCTCCTCCATCACTGAGACACCCCATGGTTCATTTGAACCATAATGGTTAACAACCACAATGATGAGAGCAGGGATTGAGATTGTTAAATGAGGCAATCACATGGGCACCTTGCTTAACAACTGTCATGATTCATGACTGTAATGGGCAGGCTCCATTACAGTCATAATTCAAGGACTACCTGTATTAAATTGATCTTAAGTAGTTCTACATATTTATGCACCTAATTTCAATTCTGAAAATATATGTAAGACACGATGTCATGTATTGTTTAAGATGTTTTCAAATGTTACGATCACATGTTGAATGACTCCTATGAATCTTTGCACAGCTATATTTGCAGTTGTTCATGGTAAGGACCCATTATGTCTTGTATGGCTGTAGATTCACACAAGAAATATCCATCTGTTTATCTAAAGGCAAATTCCTTCATGAACCTAACCACACTACAAAATGCATCAAATGTAAGATAGACAGAATTAAGCAAATTTTTCACAACCAGTTTTGCTGTTTTGTGTACATTCATTTATCCACAGAAATCAGTCACTAACGTTTTAATATGATAGAGATGATGTATTATAGTATATTGCATATACTATTTCATCAAACGTCTTTCTGACATGAACTTTGTTTCATAAACTGCTTATATAAAGGCAATCTCCTTCTTGAACCTAACCTCACTACAAACATGTCCTGGGAATCTCCTTTTAACATCAAGTTTCTTGGACAATACAGTCATCTCATTCCCCAGGCAAGCTTGAATCAATGTTAGATGTAGTGGTGTTAAAATACTGTTTTCTTCCTTATTCTGATATTATCAAAGTGTAGCCTCAAGGCATATACATCTATTAACTTTGTCATACATTATCTTGGAACAAAGTCAGGCGATTGCAGTGACTTGCAGGGGAGCAAGATAGACGTCAACAACCTGAGTGGAGAATGTATGCTGTTGTAATTTTCTCCCAAATTAGGGATGGGCAAATAGTATTCAACAGCAGTGGGAAAAGATTTTAAAACAGGCATCATGTGATACTAATGTGTGAAACAGAGCATGTCAAATGAGAACACTTTGAAAGGGAAAGAATATAAAACTGACTGCATTCTTTCTCACTAAATTCATTTCAACTGCTAATATTCATTATGTTTTATGCTGCAAGACATGGAATCAACATCATAAAAAATTAAACCTAATATCTTTGTATAGGAAGTATACAAAGTCCTGAGAAATACAACAGGCTTCATTTAAAAAGTTTTTCATTTAGAGAATGAAACATATCATAGAGTGGGAAGAGAGGAACAGAGCAGTCAAATTAGGACAACTTCTTCAATGTCCTTATATTCCATCGGAAGCTGCCCTGTGGCTGCCTACTTTTGGCAAGTGCTCATTATCATCTCATAACAACACCTGATTGTCAGGGCATCAACAGAGATACTCTACTGGTTTCCATCATTTTTTTTTACCCCTTCTGTAGGGAACAAGTCACTCTGTTCCTTGTAGATCAAGCTATACAAGGTCTTTCCTGCTATCTTCCAAATTTCTGTTTCCTTCTTGTTAGTATTTCATATAAATCACTTTTTTGTCTAGTATTTTGCCAGATATTCAACCCTAAAGAAGTATTTCTGAGATATTGAAGATTTCTTTGACTAATCCACACTCTGTCTTTCTGGTTCGTTAGTCATTTATATATTCACCACATTACAGTATTATGCTTTTTCAGCATACCAGTGTGACTCTAGCAATTGATTTTTAAAATAAGCCATAATTGACTGGGGTATATAGAACATTAATCCACAAGTCCTTGATTACAAACTAATATCACTACAATAATACTTTGCACTAAGCCAAAATCAAGTTTAATGTTATTGGCTTAGTGCAATGAATGAATTCAAAGTTACAGGACAGAGTGGGTGGGGGAAGGGTGATTTTCAAGCATTTAAATGAGACTCACTTTGTAAAATATTGAAGATATAATTATATGCATATTCATTAGACAGTAATTCTAATGCAATAACTTCTAGCAGATTTATCTAAGATTTTTATAAAGGATACCGTTAAATATGCTTATTATTTTTGCAAATGATAGATTATAGAAAATTTGAATATAAAACTTGCCATTAAGTTTAATAAACATTTTATGAGAAGAAGGCAAGATCTCTTTGGTTATAAAGCCAAATGATGAAAAAGTTAAATAACTTTATAAGTGTGATAAAATGACTAAAACACCATCTTTAAAATTATTTTCAATCTTGAATACTTAATATAACTTATACAGATAATCCAAATGCTTATCTGAGAATGTATTCTATTGATCTCAATGGAGTGTACATTTTGAGTGGAAACCTCACTGTTAAAGTTCACAAGTCTATTTTTTTTCAGACATAAGTTCTGAAAAATGAAATATGTGAAATGAAAGAATCTTACTTACATGCCTGCAGAACAAATTTGGCGATATATTTCCTAGAACAAAATATTATATTTTCTGCATAATAACTAATACTTTCCAAAAGTATCTCTATATAATCTTCAATAGGTGATAAAGAAGGTAGCTTCATTATTTTGCTGTGTTTATAAAATGTTGTTTAATAATATTACCTGCAGTGTTGTACATTAAATAAATTTTTCATTGCATTATTTATAATTTCAGTAATCATATGCACATTGTGCTCATGTCCCACTTATTTCTATGTAACTATTTCTCCTACTCATCTTTGGTGTTTGATTATGAAAATAAAGATGTTTTCCCATTCCACATATAAATTTATTTCATTCAAAGTTGCTAAAACTAAAGTCAGTTACTGGAATTGAGAAAAAGATGTGAGTATTCCTCCAAAATAATAAGTATTTCAAACTATGATATGGATATTTCCAGGTTTTTCTTTATTAAAAATACTTTTAAAATCTCAAACTATATATAACAGAAAGTTCATTTGACTGAATAGGAGCCCCCTCTCTGTAGAAGATATTTTGAGATTCACCCCTAAAACAGCCATGATCAATAGAATTTCTGGTGTGACATCCCTATTTTAAATAAGAATTTTGTGCTGTTTCTACATTAGTCAATTGACTGAAATTGCCATGATTTGTTAATTCACTATAATGCTTTATAAAATACCACACAAAGACATACACAGAAAGATAAACTCTATTCTTCTGTCTTTTTAAATACAAACGATATATAGTAGAAATTAAAAAGTAACACTATTCAATAGTCATCTATTATAATTTGCAGTGGTCATCATTTATGATCCAATGTATTTAAGTTTTGAATGTTTTAGTATGATATATAGAAAGAGCAGCGTAGTGGCCTAGTGGTGAAAACGCTTGCCTCCCACCCAGAAGGTTGAGAGTTCAATCCTAGGTAGCAGCCAATGTTTCTCTCCCAGGGCGCAACGAAATAATATCTGTGGGGAACTCTGCATAGTGTCAGGAAATGCTCAGTTCCATCTAGTTGCCTCGACTCTACCCCCCCAGTTAAAGAACTACAGGATCATAAAAAAAGAGGACTATGACATACAGTGTGTGTGTGTATGATATATTAGTATACACACATACCAACACACTTTGAGAGAGAATGTGTGCGTGCTATAGAACTGTAACAGCATAATGGTATGTAATTTTTCAATGATTTAAAAATTGCTTTCTGATCACCATTCATCTTTTGCTAAAATTTCTGCTATAGGATTATGTAATCTACAGATATATAATATCATTCCACAATAAATTATAGCATAGTGGTATTTATAGCATAGGAGTATTAAGTTGCTTTTCCTGTTTAATGTTTAAATAAAATTATACCTGGATAAAAGTTATTAAAAATCCATTGTAACCACTAAACATGGTTTCATTAAACATTAAAACATGTGCCAAACTGACACTAGTCCCATACAAGTGCATAACTATTACTGTTAATGAAACAGAGCAAGGTGAACTTACAGAAAGAGTAATATTCCCAATAAAGTAAAA